TATCTACTTTTATTCATGTATAATATACATTTGCCGTGGCCTTAAGCTTACTCTGCCCCTGAGGCTAAGGTTAGTCTAGAATTTTTTGCTTATGCTCGTTTAGTAGTGTTCTCTTCATCTCTGTTCACAATTTGTCTACCACTCTAGCAGGATAGCGTGAAAGACACTGGAGACGCAAGTCGGTCTTGTATCTTTGCACTGTTTTCTTCTGTTAGGCTATTTTGTACTTGTTTGCTTGGCAGTGAAACAACTGGTGTGAACTCCAGTGTGACAAGAATGCTGGGTAGCATCTTAAAAATAATGCATTACAGTCAGGATAAGGGGGCAACTTTGTCTAAACAGAAAATTGTCACTAAAATGCAGACACGTTACTATAATTTAAATTATTACATTGTGTTATATCCCGAAAAGGCTTAAATGTAACCCTAGTTTTGTGGGTGTCCGGACCTGTAGTCAGTCTGCAGGAGATTCCATTATGATGTGGAATCCCTGAGCTATTGTCAGTTGCTGAATTATACCAGTTCAGCCGTGTGTAGCATGATCACGTGACAGTCAAGGTGCAAATGCCGCAGAAAAACCAGCAAGTGACTGAACCACACTCATCTTTACCCGTTCTCCACTGCGCCCTCTTACTCGAATTTAATTTAATTTTCTTAAATGAAAGGTGGGAAGCGATTTTGCTGCTCTTTGAATCTGATTCATCATGGTTTTACTACGGTGCAAAATTTGCATTCTAAAAGCAACAGAGAAATTTTAGCAGTCTTTCAAATACATTTTGTGACAGAAATTTAACTTTAAATGGAATTCATGAGTGTTCTGTCATTGATAATACTAGGGTTTGCTAAGGAGTGAAAAAGCCATTATCTTTAATAACGGCTGTTATTGGCTCCTGTGTGGTTCCCCGATGGTGGAACGAGCTGCTGAACCACCTCCGCTTATCCGACTCCCTCTCTACCTGCAAGAAACGCCTCAACACCCATCTGTTCCATGAATTCTTCTGCTAACCTGTTTATTCATTGAATGCTCTTGCATAGTTTTATTAGGTTCTTACATCTTTAACAGTTAGACCTATATGTATAGTTGTGTAGCTGTTGCGTACCGGTTTCAGTCCTGCTTACACTCGTACCTGGGCACTCGTTGGAAGCTCAGCCTAGCTGGTCTTATGGCTAGTTCACTACTTTACTGCATCTATGTTAGTAATTTGCTGTTTCCCTCGCTGTAGATCGCTTTGGTCAAAAGATTCTGCTAACTATAAGTGTAAATGTACTGTTTATTATGTATTTGTGTATTTCTGCGTAATCTAATTTGGTCCCTCTTACCTGGCTTTAGCAATCACAGTTATGTTCTAATTTATAAGACACAGGAGGGGACTGCGATACGCTTCATTATCAGAACTAATCGTTATGACTACTCGTTATATTCTGACTTCTTGGATAAACCCAAGACCCTAAGCGTAAGCCTGCTTCTGCACAGAACGTTATTTTGCATTCGTTGACTAAAAATCCACCATGAAACAGATGTTTAACAGAAAGCAAAGAAATAATAAAAAAGAATGTCACGCAAACGACATGCATAAAACATTTCAAGTCTTTTTTTTACTTGAAACTTAACGTGAAAAGCAGGTTTGTCTTGAGAGCCTGTGTAGGCGTGATATTTATACACACCACCACAGCAGATAAGTGTTCACCTTAGTATGTGACTGCATTCTGGCAAACGTCTTTTGTAAAAACAGGCGTGTGTCTATTGACTGGAATGTCTATCGTCATGTGAATAAAAGTGGTGGAGAATCCAAGTCAGTGACTGTCCAGATGAACCTAATCAACTCAGAATAATATAACGCTAAAAAAAAGTCTTTCTGCACTCGTGCGAGAGGGCACACCCGCTGGATGAGTCAAGTGTGAGCCTGCAACATGAACACACTGTTGCTCGCTTGTATTTCTTTGGTCGGCTGTACAATCAGCCGGTGGCAGTCAATGTGGCGGAACTCAGCAGCAAAGAGGCCAAAGAGCAGGAAGAAGGACATGACCAGAGCCCACTCACAGATGGCGGACGCCGATCGGAGCTCGTTCTTGTGCAGGATGGACACTAGGGAGCGTCAAGGAGCACCAGTGAGGAGTGGGTGTTGTTAAGACAGGTGGAGACCACGCTAAAAATGTTGCAAAATGATGTTTTGCTGTTTCTGTGCTGTTACTTGACATGAATATGTGTCTGGCATTTAATGAAGCCTCGTGAATTTTTCCTTTAAATCATTTGGTTGTGTCCAAGTAGGTTCTAGAGCCTCCCCTCCCCCCAACACCACACACCCAATGAAGGATACTGGCCACAATGAGGGCAGTGCAGATGGTGCACAGGAGGGCACGGAGTGGGCCCACCCAGGACCGGTCCAGGGACGGCTCCGTCTTGTAGGTGAGCCACAGCTGAAGCCAGAAATAGGCCAATCCCACGATGAAGGCCAGGAAGGCTCCCAGCAGGTGGACCTCTATCAGTACCGATTGCTGAGAGAGAAAGGCAGGGGACGCCAGTGAGTCAAGAGCCACACAGGGACATGGTGAACCCTGAAAGACGGACGGTATCCTGTGGCTTTTAAATTCAGAAGAAAAGCAGGAACTGGCTCTGTCGTGCGACACGGTGCACATGCCTTTCAGCCTTACACACTCAAGCCTCAGCGCAAGAGGGCTCTCGGTGTCACCACATGGCCGAACCACCCCCGCAGTTAAGCCTGACTCACAGCACCACCCTAAGGGACGCACCTGGAAGTTCCCGATGAGGGAGATGCCCAGGGTGGAGATGAAGCCCACGACCAAGCTGGCCACATTGGCCCTGCAGTTTTGCCCATAGTCCCTGATCTGTTGGAAACGTATCACGACAATCCACAGAACTGGGAGATGGGGGGAGGGGGAGAGAGAGAGAGAGAGAGTGAGAGAGAGAGAGAGAGAGAGAGAGAGAGTGAGTGAGTGAGTAACCACAAGGAAGCACAATCAAGACAACTGCACGGCTACGAGTTTAGCATAGACTCACCCAGAAGAGCACAAAGGTTGGTGATTTGACTGAAAATGCAGCTCTGAGGGGTGAATGTGCCACAGGTACTGGGAGAGGAAAGGAGATATCAGGAGTACTGCCCGAAACTGGGAAAACCAGGAAAGGAGGAGTCGGGGTACCATCTGAAACCAGGAAAGGAGGTGTCGGGGTACCGCCCTAAACCAGGAAAGGAGGAGTCGGGGTACCGCCCTAAACCAGGAAAGGAGGTGTCGGGGGTACCGCCCTAAACCAGAATAGGAGGTGTCGGGGGTACCGCCCTAAACCAGGATAGGAGGTGTCGGGGTACCGCCCTAAACCAGGAAAGGAGAAGTCGGGGTACCGCCCTAAACCAGGAAAGGAGGTGTCGGGGGTACCGCCCTAAACCAGGATAGGAGGTGTCGGGGGTACCGCCCTAAACCAGGATAGGAGGTGTCGGGGTACCGCCCTAAACCAGGAAAGGAGGAGTCGGGGTACCGCCCGAAACCAGGAAAGGAGGAGTCGGGGGTACCGCCCTAAACCAGGATAGAAGGTGTCGGGGGTACCGCCCTAAACCAGGAAAGGAGGTGTCGGAGTACCGCCCTAAACCAGGAAAGGAGGTGTCGGGGTACTGCCCTAAACCAGGAAAGGAGGTGTTGGGGTACCGCCCTAATCCAGGATAGGAGGTGTCGGGGGTACCGCCCTAAACCAGGAAAGGAGGTGTCGGGGTACCGCCCTAAACCAGGAAATGAGGTGTCGGGGTACCGCCCTAAACCAGGAAATGAGGTGTCGGGGGTACCGCCCTAAACCAGGATAGGAGGTGTTGGGGGTACCGCCCTAAACCAGGAAAGGAGGTGTCGGGGTACCGCCCTAAACCAGGAAAGGGTGCTGCCTGAAATCCATATGAAGCTTCTAGTTAATATTGAAACTTCATTCCAAGAACAAGTGAATGACTCAAAAAGGAACTAAAATCTAGGTTTCTTTCTTAAATGAAGGTTATTACATATTTATCAATAAAACCAAAAATCATACTCTCATATTTTCACATGTCCTTATTAGAACCAAATGATCTCATCTATCTAGCAGGATATTACCTCAAGCAGATCTGTATGAGCTCCTCAGGAATAGACACACAAAAAAATGTGATAAACTCATATTATCTGCTCTGCTAGCACCTGATCAGTGTGGAATGTAAGTTAAATTGTCACCCTACCTGATATAGGGAAACTCCATCGTCAGGTTGACTGTTCCGTTTGACACGGCAATCCCAAACCTGGAGTGACAGAGGGCTTGATTACGATTACTCAATTTGCGTTAGCAAAGAGGCACATCGAAAGGCCAAAGAAGTTATACTCACACTGCCCATATTCCCAGCGTTCCAGCAACAGCCAATGAGATCGGAAGCAGTGCCCAAGCCCACATTTTACAGCACTCAGATCACTAAGAAAACACAAGATGGAGATGTGCTATATATGAAGATCAATGTCTGGCAATTCGACATGATCTGGGTGTAAATCCGAAGAACCTAAAATGTCATGGCTTCCATGAAGAAGAAATTGCTAATGATTCCACATCAGAGCGACCCCAATAATGTCCATTTACCAGACACAAGGTTAAGAAAGTAAAACGACAGATTATAGATTTAACAAGGAAGACAGACTTGGGAGGGGGATGTGGGGGAGTCAGATAGAGCAGCAGAAGAGCACGAGGGAGTCAAAAGAGTCAAAGGAGTGAGAGAGCGAGTCAAACTAAAAGTAAAACAACAGACAAAAAGAACATAGTGCTTTTCACCCGGCTGTGAGAAACGTGTCATATGCTGGTTACATTATTTCCAGGCCAGACACGCTGTGCTGAAACATCGTCCCATTTGGATTCCTGCGTAAGCTAGACGTCTAGTTTACATTAAGAATCCAGCAATCGATGCCCCATGACCTACGACAGGAAAAGGTGGATCCGCCCGACACCACCTTAGGAAAGATGAAGAAAAAGGTCGAAATGGAGAGATGGAACAGAGAGTGTGATGAGACCGCTTACAGTCTTCGTCCGATGGTCAGAGTGAGAGTAACCAGATCTACACAGCACTTCTTCTGCCCGAAAACTCCTCCCCCACCCTCGACGCGATGCAAACCATCACATATGAGTGGCTGGATCCTCATTTCTGCTATAAAGTGTGGGATGAACTTTGACCCATCTCAGGTGCGTTCTCAGACTAACACTCCTCTGATGATATCGCTTGTCACCAGCATCAACAATGACTATGACTGACGGCGGCCAAAGTCGGAGTATTTCTGCTGTAGTTGATGCCGACATGTTGCAGATTAGGAAACAGGAAGGAAGGACAACGTGAGATGCAAAACTAGCAGTTATTTATGGTCTAGTGCAGATTGTGTCTGATAAAATCTCACTCGATTCATAAGTTTAATAAATCAACCTCATGCATAACTAAATAAAATAATCCTCAGTTTCAGTATTTTCTCCACCGTGCAACTAAACAAGCAGGAGCTCCTGGGAATAACACAGGCAAGTGAGTAGCTTTCTCTGACCACAATTCATCCATTTAGTCAACTTTTCATACGCTGCACACACGCTTCATGACGATATGCAGTAGCCTGTACCCCTTGTTATGCCCCCTGGTCTAGGTTCTGTGACATTAACACACGCATCCACATGTGGTGTGGATCAGCAGCAACCAGATCGGAATAAATCAAAAGCAGCCAGATCAGATTCTACTGTTTTAATGCTCAAAAGAACATGTCAAGTACCGAACCACCGAAACGGACAACACTACTCTAACCCTAATGGGTTCTGCACTCTCCCGTAACGATCTCCCTTCCTTAACCCTTTATATAACCCGGCTCACTTTCCACACGGGGATAATAGAATAAGAGATGCAAACGAAGTAACCCACCGTCAACAGGGAACAAATCAACCCATCTACAAACAATCAATAGATCCCACAATCACCATGCACAGATCTCCTAGCAGCCACTGGGACAATGATAAGTGCTGGGACTGGTCCAAGCAGCAGACGTCCACTCTGTTCTGTGTTCTGAAAACCCTGTTTCGGTACCGAAGGGAGGAGAAAGGGATGGAAAAGACAAAGGGAGAAAAAAAAAACCAAATACAACACAGGCACAAAACACCCATGCCCTGGTGCAAGAGCCCCACAAAAACCACTTCTGTTCTGAGGGTGGGGTGCTGGGCAGAGACGGCAGTTCACCCAAGTCGCATGTTCTGCCTGGGGGAGGGTAACCAGCAAGCAGGGTCGCAATTCACCAGGCTGCCCTGGATGCAGAGCCGTGCCCATGCTAAGACTATGTAACCACTGTGCACTTATCTTGGTTACCCATTGACTGGATTATTACCCACACCTTGCTATTAAGAACCATGTGACCCGCATGGTTCAGTCAACAGATTTCACAAGCAGGGTTATAAATAATTAACCATTTACCATTCATTACTGTCCATCACAGGACACGGGGCAGGGGACACCCTGGATGGGATGCCAGTACATCACAGGACACAGGGCAGGGGACACCCTGGATGGGATGCCAGTCCATCACAGGACACAGGGCAGGGGACACCCTGGATGGGATGCCGGTCCATCACAGGGCACACACATAATTTAGAGACCCTAATCAGCATAAGAGCATGGAAACCAGAGTACCCAGGGAAACTCCAAATGATCTCAAGGAGAGCATGCAAACTCTTTAAACACAGAGGGGAAGCAGGACTCAAAGCCCTAAACCTGGAGGGGTGAGGCGACAGTAAGACCCAGTACGTCCCCATAAATATTTTTGTTCGTTAATAATAGGATCAGTCCAGTTTCTCTTAAATCAACTGAAAAGGTCTTGCAAGAACAGAGCTTCTCACGTGCAAGAGAAAGTAACAGTGCTAAGCATTTCTGTCAGGTCCCTCATCAACAGAACAGGAGGACGCGAGGTGGTGGAAGAACCAGAGAGCTTCAGAAAGGCAAAACAGGAGAATCGACATGAAACGGAGTGTTTTCCTGAAAGTGCCATCAAACAACAGTGTCGTCTTCACAAAAATTCACAATCATGACAAGCAAACACCCTAATAGGCTCCAGGCCCCGAAACAAACACACGCTGAAGGAAGCTGCATGTGTGCCAGACAGAGAGTCAGCAAGTGGCCATGCGCCATGCCCACATATTACTCAATGTTTGAGAAAGAAATTGACAAACAGATGAATAGTCTGGGAGAATATTCACCCACCCATCCATCCATCTTCTAAATGCTTCTCAAAGAGCAGGATTGTGGGCAGGCCTGATGCTTACCTCAGGACAACGCTACCAAATAAGAAATCCAATGCTACTTTAGATGTTTTGGAGATAATATATAAACTAAAAAAAATATACAAAAATGTGTCTATCCACGTAACAATGGATTTCAGAAACCACGGCAGTGGCTGGAAAATCTTTTTCTGAAAGATACACAGACTAACACATATATAAATATACACACACACACACACACACACACAC